AATGTAATCATCATCTTTCACATCAGTGAAAGAACATTTAAACATTAGGATTCATATCTCCATAAGATAAAATAAACAATTTCTACCAAAGATCACATCATAATTGTAAAAAATGTAAAAAACAAAAATTGTTTCATATCATTGTAAGATAATATGAATACCTGTTTCACTTCATTGTAAAACAGTGTAATCATTTTTCTTCAGGTTATGATTGTAAGACGGTGTAAGAATTTGTTTCCATATCATCATTTTAAGGCAGTATGAGCGTTTTGTTTCACATATTTTTAAAACATTGTAAACACATCTTCCACATTACCATTATATGGCAGTCTAAACATTTCGTTTCACGTCATTGTTAGGCGGTGTAAACATGTGGTTCCAAATCATCTTTCTTAAACAATGTATGTCTGCGGACTTACAACGCTAGAAACCGGGTTTCGATGCCCGTGGTGGGCAGAGCACAGATAGCCCATTGTGTAACGTTGTGCATAATTACAAATAAACTTAAGCAATGTAAACAGTGGTTCTCACATTATTATACGATAAAGTATATTTGATTTCATATCATCATTCTGAAATAGTGTAAATGTTTGGATTCATGTAATTGTAAGACAACTAAGCATTTAGTTTCATATCATTGTTAGACAGTGTAAACATTTTGTTCCACTTCTTTGTAAGACAGTGTAAACATTTAACTTCCCATTATTGCAAGTACTTGATTTCACATCATTCTGAAACAGTGAAACATTTGCTTTCACATCATAGTAAGACAGTGTAAATAACAGAGTTCACATCATTCTTAAACAGTATCAATATTTCGTTTTACATAACTATAAATATTCGGGTTCTAATCATCATTGAAAAATAGTGCAGACGTTTGGTTCAACATCGGTATAAACAAATAGTGGAAACATTACATTCCACATCACTCTAAGAAAGTGTAAATATTTTTTCAGGTTATTGTAAGAGGGTGTAAATGCATGTTTTTACATCATTGTAACGCAGTATAAACATTTGTTTAAACGTGATTGTAAAACAGTGTAAGTATCTGGTTTCACATCATTATGAGTCAGTATAAACATATGGTTTGACATCAGAGTAAGAAAATGTAAATATTTCATTTCACATCATCATAAGACAGTGTAAACATGTGGTTTCACATCAGCTTTCTAAGATTGTGTTAACATTTCTTTTCACATCATTAAATGATAGAGTAAATTTATTCCACGTCATCATTATAAGATAGTGTAAACGTTTGGACTTGCATCACTGTAAGATACCATAAACATTTAGTTGTACGTCATTGCAAGACAGTATAGATTTGATAACACATCATCTTTGTAGCACAGTGTAAACATTT